CATGTCCAGCTTTTCATCCACCACTTTAGTAAGGAAAAGTTCGGTGTGTAAATTATGAGGATGAATTTCTTTCCCTTTATGCTTTTAATAATCTCTTTAAAAATAAAATAATCTACCCTAGGTGATCCTGCATTGGCAGGGGATTGGACTAGATGACCTCCAGAGGTCCCAGAGGGTTGGAAACCCCTTCCACTCTACAAATCTGTATGAAAAGTCTAACCTGTTTGAGCCAGAAGTGTTAAATACGCATTAGCAATACTGCATATCCAAATAGCAGTGACTTGTAAGGCTTGTAGCTGAAGATTAGAAATACCAGGGTTCAGCAATCATCTTGCAAATTTCTTTACCCAACTGCAGCTGTTTTAACCTCTTTGCTGAGGGTTACGTAATGGAGATTTTATGTGTCACAAATAAAATTCTGCAAACATTTGTCCATCTTGATTCATGATTATACCAGGACTGGAGAGCATGAAATAAAATCTTTCGGAACTAACCTTCCTCAGATTTGGCAGCATTCTACCACAGTGCAGAACAGTATACCTATTACTCAAATGCTCATGACTTGCATGTTGGAATGAGCTGCTTTATCATGCAGATGGAAATGCTTCTGTGGGCTAAGGAGATTCAATATCTTTCTGAATTGTGCTTGAACCATGGTCCTCTTAATAAGGCAGGGTTCACCGAGTCATTCAGCAGAAATCAGAATACTTTCCAGAGCAGAGAATACTCTTTTTTTTTTTATCCCCGCAACAAAAGGGAAGACACACAAATACCCCTGCCACACACTGGTACGTTTATAAAGCCTCTCTGCAGAGACACATAATAGCTTATGTCGCCTTAGGAAGAAGAAAATGGAAAAACAAAATTAAAATACTGGAAAATAAGATTGCCCAAGCATCGTCAGAAAACTGACTAAATAAAACTGTTGAAAAACAAAACATAACCCTTTTAGAACTAGTAAATAGGGTATTGTGTTTGATAGCCAAGTGGCTGAGTACTTTGTTCATAGGGTGCAGTAACAAACTGGATTATTACAGTGAGGGCAGGATTGGCCCAGGGTCCTGTATAGCAGAGAAACCAGCGCTCAAGGAATTTCCTACTTGGCATGTAACCAGTAACCCAAGCCTATGAAAGACTGATGTTGCTGTTGCTGTAAATTATCACAACTAAAAATGTTCCTTAACTTCCGAGTGTCATGATTAACTTTGTTAATTTTCTGGCCAACACATGCAAAATTGTTGTTCAGTTTTCCAGACCTCTGAAGAAATAAGGAGTTACATTACAGTCACAGCTCTGCATGGTGGCCGAAATTGTCCTGATTCAAATTATTTCTTAATCACTGAAGTGAAAGGTGTGTGCCAGAAGTTAACGAATGACTGTTCAGCAGTAGCTTGTGGTAGGAGTGGCAAAGCCCTGGCCAGCCATCACATCTCAGCTCGAGACAGAGGGTTCAGAGGAGATGGGAGCACAGTCCCCAGACGTGCTGTGACCCATCAGAGCTCAGGGCCACTGATACAGCCGAAGAGGTTTTTGCTTTTACAGTTGAACTGTCATTCGTGTAAAATGTGGCTGAATTATTGGTAAAATAATACACAAAGATCAATCAAGTTCGATACTTGATTGGTCAATATTTGCACTCAAAGATGTTTGAAGTGTTTCAAATTTGATTGGTACCTTTAGTATGAATAATTAAAATGTTTTATTAGTAGACCAGAAGAAAATAGAATATTCTCTTGCAATGGATTTCCTTTTCAGTAAAACATGGCTTATCGAAGAAAAAATGGATCTCAGGTTTTTAGTCTTTGAAGAAAGACTTTTTCTCCTTGTTAGTGTATAGGGAAGAAGTTTCTAGTCACTGCTGTAAAAAGGGAAAGCTAACACATGAGGCATATCAACAATGAAATTTCATCTAGACGGTATGAATCCTTGGAAATACAAGAGAGATCCTAATTGTGGCCTAAGATTCTACTTACCTCATGTAAATAAAAGTTACCCTCTGGACAAAACAAGCAATCCAGAGTACTTTGATTGTTTTGGTTGTTGTTGTTATTGATTGTTTAAAAAAAAAGGGAGGGGAGGGGGAGAGAAGGGAGGAATACACAAAACCCAATAAACTGAAAAACTTAATATCTTCCACCCTGCTGCAAATTGATTTCTGACCTCAGAGACATCTTTCACTGGAGAAAGATTTATGCAAAGTGAAAAAATACATTATTTACGAGCAGATTACGATAAACTCTTCACTTCCTCCTCACAACTTTTCTTGACAAAATCAGGGGTTTCAGTCTGCTATAAAAACATCTCTGTAGAAAATATTTGGTCTATAAAAGAGATTAACATCCTGATGCTGTCTCTGTCTTGCCAATAGTTATTCTGCCACTTGTTTGGACAACGTGAGCTAAGCAGCCAAGTTACAGCCAGCAAAGGACCCTATAGACAGTTTTTAAAATGAAATTAATTTTAAAATGGTTAACTAATTAATTTTTTAAAATAAGCTCATTTTTAAAATTAATTTAAATTCACTTTCTACTTTCCTAACCTTTCGGTTCTGTGGCTTGATGTAATGCTGAGAGGCTGTTGTGCCCACAGAAGCAATATTCTGGCTTGGGGGAACACCAGGGACTCAGCGAGCCATTGGGAGCTAATGGGACCATGCACACTTTTTATGGGAGGCACATGGGCACAGCCTTTGTGTTTCTGTCTTTATTTGGATCTCCACAGTGTTGTGTTTGTAATGTTGAGTTCTACCACACTATCTCAGTTATGGTGATGCCAGCTTTAGTTATGAAGTGCAAAATGTAGAGAGCAAGCAAATGTATTTTATGGACAACTTTTCTGAATAAAGCAAATGATGATGTGGGTTCAGACATATGTATAATTTAAATATCTGTTAGCATTTTTTAAAAAGTACAGAGTGCAGGACAGGTTGGAAAGAAAAATTGCTTTTTAAAGGCCGTGGTGTTCTGTCAATGAAAACAGAGTAGAGGTTTTTACATTGTTTGCTGGGTTGACACCAAGAGGAGTTTTCATCTCTGCACAATTGCTTTTATAGATCCGGAGACTCAACGGCCAGAATATGGAATCTCAATGAAAACAGCAACAGCGGTTCCACTCAACTAGTTTTGAGGCACTGCATAAGAGAAGGAGGACATGATGTCCCCAGCAATAAGGATGTGACTTCGTTGGACTGGAATGTAAGCTAACTTCTAAGACTGTGAATGGTTTTTAACTGTCTAAATTTAATTCGGAGACTGCTGCTCCATATCTTTTATATCTGAGGTGACCAGAAGCTCTGTCCTAACCTACTGACCTCTTGTCTCAAATACTCCTAATAGGCTGAACTTTCCCCTGTATGCTATATTTTTCCAGGGCTGTTGCCATCTTCAAGCCTAATAATGATTTATTTATATCTCTATTTTAGGAGCAGGGGTAAAAATAAACTTAGCTAACTTTAAGAATGAAGATTAAACAAGCAATCTGTGTAGTGATGAAGCGTGATTAATAATGTATGTGCATCTCAGAGTTACTTTATTTTGGCATGTGAGGAGATACAAGCACCAACAAAGCTTTTCCTGAGGCTGGACTATCAAGAGCCTCTCTCATTTGACTTACGCTGTGCATAAGCAAAGCATGTTCACATTATTGCTTGTATCTTGGTAGGAGCATGTGCGGTCATTCTCTTTACCTACCCACCTCCCGGGTGGAACTGTCTTGCCTGGTGCCCTTTTTACTTTCATCCTGCAAAACCTTCTATCTAAGATAATATGGTCCTGCACAGAGAAGACTGAAGTGAGCAGAGGGGACAGGGATTGTTAGGAATCCCCAGTGTCTAGGCAGTGTCTGGGCATGTCCTTTCTGCCACCAAGCATTGTAAAAAGAACTTAATGAATTTTGAGATCACTTGCATTCTGTCTGTTTTGCTGATGTTGGTGGAGAGTTATCACATTAGTCTTGTTTTCATAGAACAGATTAAAAATTAAGTCCCAGAAAGGATTCTCAGCAGTCACATACAGTCTCAGTTGTGGCCAGAGACCAAAATTAGATTAATCTTCACTACACCGTAATTGTCCTTCAGCTGAGCTAGGTGCTTCACCAAAGTAAAAGATAAGGCCACCACACAAACCAGCTTCTCCTGTGTATTACGTGTTTCCCATGACAGAAGTTGGTGAACAGTGCAGAAAGCAGAGGTGGGTTAAGAAAGCAGGCAAATACAAACCCCAAGAATGTTCATTGCTTCTGTTCTGTGGATGTCATGGTCAAGAAAAACAGTTGGGAGCAACTGCACTGAGGGGTAGGAAAAGAGTAACTGAAAGAGGAAAACCTGCAGAGGTGCACAACAGTTAGGAGAAAAGTTGTCCAAAACGTGCAGGGCATCCTCTGGTATTTCCTTGCAGTAGTTCCTTACTTTTCCAGACTGCATTGGTCACTGATTCTTCACTTGCATTGTGCTAGTACTTAATGTAAGGAAATGTTCCTAACTTGAACACTTGAAGTGCTTCCGACTCAGAGTTTTTCAAAAAATGTGAATTACCCCCAAAAAATGTGGATAAACTGACATCTAGTCCCTTGAGCTTTCCTTCCCTCTCTTCGCTTTAACACCTTCGTTCTCATCAGTGGTCCAGATAAGTGTGTACCACAGTGAGGTTGGCTTGGGTTTTGATATTTTCCCCCTGCATCATTATACATTTGAGTTAAATCTACAACTGCTCTGACTCACTGTTTTTGGAGGGTTGGAGTGGACACATGTTTTTGAAGGATTTTTTAATGTCTTTTCCTAATTTTCTCTTCATGGTGTTAGAACTGCCATCTGCCTTTATAGTTTATTTAGAACCACAATATTAATCATATTTCGCTGTGAAATTTTCACACTGGTGATACTAAATTCTCTGGTTTATGTGATTTATGTTATAATAAGAAAGATTATTTCTGGAGGCCATATTCAGATCATGTCCGTTGTACCAAGGGTAGGATTCATCTCCCTTCGATTTAACCACCTAAACTAGTCAACTAAAATCCCTCTAAGTCAGCAGAACATCGCCACGTGCCTTCGTGCTGCTCTGGGCAGAGTCTAAAGCAAATGGGATCATGAATTACACTTGAGAGGTGGGTGATGCTGTTAGTTATAGAGGGAGACTAGGTTACTTTCTTAAGATAACTTCTGGATGCCTGGAGATAAATGGGGTGAATCTTAACTCCTAATCCAGGAGATGAAATTTAGTTTAAAGATTAAATGTCCAGTGCTAACAGTACTCATCTCACGAGGTTACAGAGTCAAGTTCCTTTTTAATCATTCTCATTCTGGCCCAGTAACTCTGACATGGTTGGCTGCACAGGAGATGTCCTTCAGCAAAGGCTCCTTCCAGCAGAATACACGCAACTTGCTGGTAACAATTCCTGCGCTTCTTTTCTTTCAATTGAGACCCATGAATCCAACTTTTCTCTGGCTATCCATCATGATACTGTGCCTCTCAGCACGTCTGGGAGTCTGAGACATGTAGGAAGCAGTTTCTTTGTGCTAGACAGCACTCGTGTTAAAACGTGAGTCCAGGTGGCTTAGGTCCTTCTTTCTAGTAGAGGTGCTGGAGTTTCACTGAGATTTAGCCAAGATTTGGATGACCTGTTGATGTTCTGTAGGCTCTTTATGTCTAAGAAGTAGACATCTGTTTGTTATCTGGAAGAAGAGTTTGCTATATCCTGTTTTCTTTTTCTAATCCTTGTGGTTAAATTACTCTTATGTGATGGTGTAGCCCAGTATTTCACAGTATGTTAGGGGGTTTTATTTCCTCTTTACTGACTACAGCAATACCCTTTAGTTTAAATCATAGTATAATCTGTCTCAGTGTATGGACTCAGATTTCCCATAAATCACAATGCCCAAGCCTTAAAAAGAAAAGAAAAGAAAAATGTTCATTGAAAGAGATTTCATCTAGTATTGACCTTTGCCATTCATATATATCCCAACAGAGTGATGGAACACTATTGGCTACAGGCTCGTATGATGGTTTTGCAAGAATATGGACAGAAGATGGTAAGTCAAACGGCATTTATGGATCGTGAGCGTCAAACAGCAGTGAATTGTAAATTGGCTAATTTGTAAACAAATTATAATATTAACCTTTTCTTTATTCCAGGTAACCTTGCAAGCACCTTAGGTCAACACAAAGGTCCAATATTTGCCCTGAAATGGAACAAAAAGGGGAATTATATTTTAAGTGCTGGTGTTGATAAAGTGAGTTTTAAAAATACATTGTTCTAACATATAAATGCGCTGACTCAGTGAGCTTGTGCTGCTGAATTCCATAAGATTGTTTTCTTCTCTTCCAGGCATCCTGGAGAGTTTGCTTTTCGTTAATATGCTGTAGTGCGTGTTGATTACATTTTTGAGGCTGCACAAATGTGTACTATTTTTATGTAAAAGGTTTTACTTAAAAAAAAACCCTCCACTTCCCCCCGGTGTAAAAGTGCATCTTAAATGTTTCTCAGTTAAGAACTGCTTCCACTAGTTGTTACGTTTATAGTTTTATCAACTATTTCCAGGAGGGAAGTGATCTTAGAGATACTTGACCTTTTAGTACATCTAATTATTGAAGCACTTGTATTTGAATAAAATGTATATGGCTTCCTGTGCAGATATGGAAAAAAAAAATGGTAGTTCTGAACTCAAAATCAAGAAAATGTGGTAGTTCCGGCTGAGTGCGTATTAGAGATTAAAATGCTGATGAGGAGGACAAATTCATTAAAACTGAAACTGGAAAGTACACAGCATTCATCTTGCCTAACTTTTGATGTCTAAAAACCAGATGTGTATGTCATCCTTGGCTCCCTTTATAAAATTCGGAGAGAAAAATGACACCTCCAGGTGATGGGTTGCACGGCCTGCGTTACGGTGAGAGGCACTGCTGGTGCTTCCCTCCAGCAGCTGACAGGGAGTCTAGGGAAACTACCTAAGGCTTGTACATCTGCTTTGTAGGCTTGGTGACTCCCTGTATTTTCACGTACTTGTGAAAATGAAAACTTAGGAGTTTTATTCCTTTTAATACTGGCTCATATGCAGCTACACTTGTCTCCCAGTGGCAGTTCCATTATTCTGGCAAATTTACATTCCCGGTAACAGCAGCGATTCTTTAGATGATCCATTATCAGCAAGATGAGGCATTCTTAATTTACTTTCTGGAAGTATATATTCCCAGTGAATTGACAGTTCACTCAGAAGGTGGCATTGAGCTCTGCAGGGGAGTTCCTTATGAGTGCTGTAAGTATGGATTAAACCTGTAGTAAGCAGATTACACTTTAGTCTGTCCCACTGCAGTGGCAAGAAGTGATATGTATTCCACTGCTAGATAAACATTTCACTTGGTGGTTTAATTGTTACAAATGGAGTATCTCCTGATTTTGTAATAGAATTCAACTTCCATCTTTGAGAAGGGGAAAAAAAGTCTTCTTTGAAGAAGGTAACTGAAACAGCTGTAACAAAAAGCTTATTAAAATTTTGTAGTGCTGTCTTCTTGCAATATTCAGAAAGAATATGCCCACTCATAGTAGTTATATGACTTCCTCTGTAGGGGTGACACTGCACTGAGATTATTATTTTGTAATATTTGGAAGTGATTTCTGGGTTTTCAGCTGTTCAGCGCACAAGGCTCTCTGCTGTCAATGATTTTATCAGTCCTTTTAGAATTGCTCCTCAGTGAGGGCTCTCTCGTTTGTTTTCTCTGAGCTGAACAGTCACTAATCTTTTTTTTTCCCCCCGCTTCCTTCGGGTGCAGACAACAATTATTTGGGATGCTCACACAGGAGAAGCTAAACAGCAGTTCCCTTTCCATTCAGGTAATTTCTGTGTAACTCTCGTTAGCAAAATGAAATTCACTCGTTGATTTTGTCAACCTAATTTATACTTTTGCAAAAATCAATCTGCCAGAGAGAAGTGAATTCTGAACCAAGGTTTTTGTGCTTTAAGTATCCTAAGTATCACGGCTTGTGGGTTTATTCTTTTTTTTCAGACAGGTGGGGATCTGTAAGAATCAGCTGTACATGACAAACTGACTGTTGGGAAGGATTTATATACTGGCCATTTCTACACAGCTGAATGATTGTGTCATACCTGTGTGCTTGAATAGTAGTAGCAAGTGGTGATTTATGAAGAGACATTTCTGTGGGGGTGTCTGGGATCTCTTCCACTGTTTCTGCTCCTGTTGTAATGCAGCTGACTTGAGACAGAAGCGGACGAATCTCTCACGCAGCTTGCATTGACCACTGTGGGCATGAAGGTGCTCAGGAATTTCTTAGCTTTTAATTTTGACTTGAAGTTCTCCAGTATTTGCTTTCTCTGATGATCAGAAGTCGGTTGACAACCTTCAGTTTCAAAACCTCGCTGCACCAAAACCTTTACTTGGATGGTCGTTTGTAGATCTGGTCTGCTTCAAGAAGGCAGGAGATATCAGATACTAAGTAATCTTGAGTAACAGGCAATCGTTGATGTAATCTTAAATTCACCTGAGACCAAACTTGTAAGATGATGACTGAATTTATGATCCAAAATGTGTAAGTTGTCACAGTGAAGAATTTTTAAGGAGCATAGTCAAACTGAGTTTAAAACCACCAGAACATTCCAGATGCTGATGCTAGAAATGTTCATCTTCCTGTGTCTTCACTGTAACTAATCCATTTTTTAAATACAGCAGGCTCTCATAAGGTGCTTAATGGTGTTCAAAACCACATATTTTACTGCTAATTTTGAAACATTAACTTGCATGTGCTTTTCAACTCCATTTCTAGTTGTTATCATCATCACGTTTTCACGGATGGTATTAATATGCAGCAGCAATTGAAGTGGTTATTCAAGAGAAGACAGAGAGTGTGTCCATGCGTGCAGCAGATCCATACTCTGCAGTTTTGTCACTCATCTTCTCACTAACTAATGCAACTGTCAGTTTGAAGGAATTGGTATCTGCTGACAGATTTTCTCACTCTGGCATTTATTTATCTCTCATAACTGTCCCATAAAAGCAAACTTTGAACTGTATAGTGGTGTAGTTAATGAGACTCCTAAGCCTTCTGATCCCCAAATATTGATCTAAGAAGGTGCAGATTCAGAACTTGGTTGCCCCTTCAGCATCCTGTTCACTGACGTGTAGCTGTCTTAGCAGTGATGTGCATCAAGGAGGTGTAGGGGAAGCTACTTAATCAGGATTCTTGTGCTTGTGTCTCCATTACTAAGTAATTAAAGCAGGTTAACGGTTGGACTTGGTGACCTTAAAGGTCTCTTCCAACCTAAAAGATTCTATGACATCGCACGCCATTCTCTATTTATCAAGTTGAAAGCTTAACTGCATCTTCCAATGCAACATGCTTACGTCCATCTGCATGAATAGATTTTTTTTTTTAAATTCTTTTTAGGCATGCTGTTTATCTTTGGACCATAAAACACAGCTGAAGTGGGGATGTGGAGAGGCTGATTTTTTTTTTTTCCTTCATTATTTCAAATACGTTTTTATAGGGAAGTAAAGCAGTTAGTTATTAAGGAAATTCTTGATAGGCCAAAAGTATATGTCCTACAAAAAGCCCCTTAAAATCAACTGGGGTCTTTGTCCTTGCATATGTCTAAAGGCACAAAGACCTCACCTTGTGTCACTTACTCACCAGAACAAGCTAACAGCAAATTCCTTACCATACCTAGAGTCTGAAAACCTTGTGACAGAAGGATTGTAGGTGGCATTTTAACAATTAAAAGTCTAGTCTAGACAGAATACAATTCCTTTAACACATACTTGTGTGGTGTACTTCTTTGCATACTTCTTTGAAGTCTGGAGATAGTTGGCCTGGGAATAATGTATTTTTTTTTTACTCTTGGCTGCTTTACAACTTGTTTATTTTACACCCATATGGACAAAACTGTCGTCTGAAAGTACATAAGGAAGACGCCTTTGTCGAGGTCTTGAGGGCCTCTGTACCATTGATGTTCCTATGTAACTTTAAGGTTGTAATGGTCCGAATAGCTGTGTACAAGTGGCTTCTAGGGTTTCTTTATTCTGTGCAAAATGATGAGTCATTGTAGAGCATTTGATCAAAATACATATTCAGAGAGCCTGTTTCTTTAAAATGGAGTGAAATAATCCAATTTTCACATCTGGCGATAGATGCGGACCGATGTCTATGCCTTCAGGAACAAATTGGTTAAGTGATACCATAAGAGGTATTTCTGTGACCCAGTTTTAGACATCTAGGTGCTCTGAATCACTCCCTGCAGACACTTAGCTCTGTTCTCTTCTGAGCTTCTAATTCTGAATCACACCAAAATTTCTTCAGAAAAAGCTTAAATTCACTGATAATTATTGTAACACTTTTATTGTGGGGATCTATTTTAGCTGCATTTCTTAAGGCTTTGTTGCTGCTTTGATTAGATGACATTCTACTTGTTCTTATGCAATGGGCTATTACCCTCTGGTTTTGGAGACACTTTGGCAATTCGATTACTTGTATCAAAAACTATGTTTGTTTGTTTTTTCCTGACCGTTTTATGTAGTTGCTTTATACTGTAAACATATGATTAAATACACTGATAAATGAATCAGTATTAATTATCAACACTCTATGATTCGAATTATGCTGCAGTGCAAATCCATCGCTTGAGGTGCCCGTAGCTCCCAGAAGATTACTTTTCAATTCATACGTATCGTACTAGATATGGGGCCTGGAGGCATATTGCTGTTAATGAAGACAGATTTTTGTTTGCTCTGAAACAGTAATGCAAAGCTTGCAGCATGAAGGGAAAGACAAACAGGCAGTCAAATAAACAAAATCCTTGCTGTTTTCTGATCCCCATTAGTGTTAATTGAAAAACTCAGAAGTAACCTGCCTTCCTCATAGAAATTTTCATTATGTTTCTGCAACGTAGAAATTTCTTAACCTGTCACGCAGAATTATTGAGCTTTTTAATTAATATTCTAAAAAATACTTGCATTTGAAACAATTTCAGCCCTCAGTTCTCATTAAGAGAACTACCTGATGATTCAGGTGACGTGGTTCAATCTCATCTTGCAGCTCATGAAATTATAACAGAAAAAAGCATTTCAGTACAATAGGCTTGGCAGAACAGGTATCGCCTCTGTTTTACAAAGGTATTTCTCTGGATGTATTTAAATAAGGCGTTTCTTGCTTTCATTTTAATGCTAAACTTGCATTGTATTGTTGCCAGAAAGAGATTCAGCTTTGCTTCCTGTATGCTGGTCTCGTCCTGACACTCTCACTTCTCACAGGCGTGTGCCGAGCATGAAGATTTCTGTGTTTTAGCGAGTCTTATGTCATCCTCTGGAGGGCAGCTAAACTCTCTGAGTAAAAAAACAAGCATCAGTCACAGACACACAAGCAAGCTGTATGTTAGGAGTTCCCTCCTACTCAAGCACAAGCTTTTAGTCTGCAGTGACATGCTGTAAAAGGGTTTTTTTGGGGGTTTTTCCACACTTCTTGCAAAGTGTGCGTGTTGCACACAGGCACTAGTTACGTGTTCACGTGCTGTCCGCGTACAAAGTTTCATTACTTCAGTCCTCGTTAGTGCCAAACCCTCCACAGAAACTCTTCCTCTCATTTCAGATCAGCTGTATCAATGTCTCTACCTTCAGTCAATCCCCACCTAAATTAAGCTGAATGTAGGTATTCTTAATCCATGTGTCTGCGCTCAACGACGGGTTTTTATCGGTGGTTGCATAAAGCCGGTGGAAAGGCAGACAGCCACCTGCTGCTTCTCCCTCTGGTGTGTCGAGTCTGGCATTCACAGGAACATTTCTCTAACACAGCTGAAACTGTCCACATTTCTTCTGGATTAGTTTTCTTCCAGGTTCTCCACTGAACTAGCTCACAGAGGAATGAATGGTAGAGGTGGCGCAAGAGACGTATGGCTAGGAGTGGGGGGGGTGGAGGTAGATTGTTTTGCCCCTTTTAGGTAGCTTAACCCAAAAGATTCTCATAAATAGGTAACATGCAAAGCATCCAGATTATCCACTGCAAGAGAAAAAATAATTTGTGCCCTTCAGACAGTCCCTATCATCCCCATAACTGGTAGTATGTGATAGACCAAGAACTAGCTTTTAGCCTGTTTGATCTAGACAGGTGACAGAAGGAAAATGATTTGGGGTAGCTGTTTCTTTGCCGCGTTCCCTGACGTTCCTTCATTTGTTTGCACTTCACAGCTCCTGCTCTGGATGTAGACTGGCAGAACAACACTACTTTTGCCTCCTGCAGCACTGACATGTGCATTCATGTATGCAGACTTGGCTGTGATCGTCCCGTTAAAACCTTCCAAGGACACACAGTAAGTTTAAGAAGTCCAGAATGTGAGTGATAAAGTCACGGCAGCATGTTGTGATGATGGCAGATGATGTGTTTGTGGCGTGTGTTCTAGCACCAAAGTTGTTACATCCCATTGCTTCCCTAAAACCGTATTTCCTGGGAGTGATTCACTGCCTGTGAGAAGGGATAAACTGTTCTAAATCACCGTAGGAGGCAAAACCTGCAGCTTAAACAGTGAGACTATTTATATGTAGCATGAGCTACAGACTAAGGGCACATTAATAAACAAGATTTTGTTTTCCGCCAGCTTAATTTCCTTTAGTAAATGAGAACTATGAATAAGGAGAGAACAATTTACCTCCAGAATCAATTTAATCTAGTAAGGTCTATTTAAGATGTATTTCCCCTCTCTTTTTCTGGTGCTATTTAATGACCATCGAAGGGTAGGTTTTCTGGCTCTCATTCATGAGAAAACTGCTATCATATACTGACCTGTAATTTAGGTATTAACTTCCAGAACTTGCTGTCTCCCCACTGAGGAAAAATTGTGCATTTGGAGACCTTTGTCTAGTCTGTGGTTAAACTGATATTAAACTGATATGTCATGACAGGTTGTACATGCCTGCACTAACTGGTGCTTTTTGTGATTATGTGAAGTGCACCGTTTTGCACATGGTGCAAATCTTTTGCTTCAAGTATTTGTACAGTTCCTTTTCATTATGACTGAAACATGTAAAATGGATAAAGCAAAATTTAAGTATTTTCCAGAATTATTCACTGAGACCTTGAGTCCGTTTATGTTTTTAAAAACAATCTTTCCTTTTTTATGAAATGCTTTTTTTCTCCATATGTATGACCCTCAAGAAAGGACAGAAAACTTACTGATTACCAAGGGGATACTCTAGGCTTAGTTAATTACAGAGGTCTAGAAAGCATCGTAAGCTATTCAGTATTCCATCCTGGATTTGATTTACACACGCACCTCTCTTTGGAGAGACCAGTATTATTGTTGAGCTGCAGTACTAAGAATTACAAAACAATTGAAAATTTGTATCTCTGGGATCTACGGAATATTAACCAAAGAAACATCTCACTGTTAAAAAGAAGCTAAAGCTGCATCGTCAGTGTGTCTGGTCTGGGGGTTCATTTAAATCCTAGCGGATGAAGAAGGGGTGTGGCAGACTTTGTGCCAGAACACGGATCAGAAGACTGATTGTCCGTATTCTTCACAAACCCCAAACGGTTACCATTCCCTAATGACTCTTGAGTAGCGTACTGGGGGTGCAGCCCTGCTTTTGTTCGCCCCAAAGCAACCAGGGCTGTCATCTGTGGGGGAAGGTGCTGCATGCGTGAGCCCTGAGTGCCATCTGCTGGGTGCCCGGCACAGTGTGCTTAACCGGAACACTTCCTTCATAAAATCACTCTTTCTTGCAGAATGAGGTTAATGCAATCAAATGGGACCCATCTGGCATGCTACTAGCATCTTGCTCCGATGATATGACATTAAAGGTAATACCATTTCCATTCCTGTCGTTCAAAAAGTAAAGACAAAAATTATGGCTATTTTTTAGTCTTCTCCAGAGTGCCTATACTGTAGGAGGAACAGTAGTTTCAGTTTGTCCCCTATTTCCTAAAGCCAGTGTGGAAGACTGAACACAGAGAGACAGCCCCTGGGAAAACCAAGACATCCTGTCCAAATAAGTGTTAAGTGACTGATAGGTCACTGTCACAGAAAAGTCATGGTTCAAATAGACACCTCTGTAGACACTTGCTTGCCTGTAAACAGAGGCACAATCCGTACACTAAGATATATTCTGTTGGTCACACTTTGAAAAGAATACAAAAATAAAGAGTTTTCTCTTTGGAGTCTTTTTTTCTGAAAATAATTCCACTGGAGAGGTTTGATTGTTTTTTTTTTTGAATAGGCTTGAGCCAAGCAATAGGGATACAACATCTATATTCAGAGCCCACCAAAAATTTGCTCTCTGAAGATGCTCATCTTTATCCACTCCCTCTGTGGGAAGCGTAAGGCAGCTACGCTGCTGATGCACTTGCCTCTGTTAGGTGCCTGAGCAAGGTGGAGTTGATCCGGGTTCTGGTTCGCAGGCGGCATGGGCTGCCTCCCCAGCACACCTGGGCCATTGCCCAGCACCAGCACCATATTCCTAATACAGGGCACCTCCAGGCTTGCAGAAATAGTTTTTATGGTAGAGTTTTTCCAGACCAAACTCCTCTCAGTCTCATCCTCCTTTCCCAGCACATCGAATGAAGGCTGTGTCCATGCAGGAATAGCTGTATAACAGCAAAGCCTTCCTGCTGGGACTGTTGATTTGTGCTGGTTCCCTGAGCAAAGCAAACATCCCAGGCAAGATTTGGTTTTGTGGATAGAATTGTACCAGTAATACAGTTTCTTCATAGTATAGCTGTGTTAACTAAAAGGCTCACACCTCTCTGCACTGCTGACTGACACAGCTGAAGCAGGAGGCATTTCTAGCGTGCACACAGCCTGTCTGTAAGACCCAAGACAGAGAGAGCAGAAGAGCATGTAGGTGAGAGCAGAGTGAACGTCAGCGTTACGAATGTTTCCTCTTCATAGGTAGCCTGACATGCTCAGTTCTACTCTGTCTTTGCTACGGTACCCACTACGGTTTTCATCGCCCTGGATTCCACATGTGTTATTGCTGACTACTCACAGAGCTGGAGATTGACAGAAAACAGGGCTAGAAGAGTCTAAAAGAGAGCACCTTGTCTGTTACGCTGCCACAAAGTAGTAACCACTACTACTGTGCTTAAACATCCTGACCCAGTGGTATCACATTGTTTTGGTGCGCAGTTGCGTGCTGTTTCAAAAACCACTGTGGCTCAGTGTTGTTGGTGGCAGTTCACATTTCTGACCATGGCATTTGGCACACGAGCTAATGATTTGCTCTCTCTGGCCTCACCTGTTTTTAAAAATCTTCAGTGATGGGGACTGCAAATCCTCTTCAGGCAATTCTTTGTCCTTTGGATTCTTTTATTTCCTCTTTTTTTGGAGTTCTGGATGTTATCCTACAACTTCTTGGAACATGTTGCCTGTTAGCCATAGAACACGGCTAAGCTTTGCATAACATTTCCGAAAGCCGACATGGGTACGCTGCTGAAAATTCAGCGTAAGAGCGCATCTTTTCCCTCATAGTGCAGACTTACAACACAGTGAGTTAAATCATTATTACGCTTTTGGTGTCTCTCTGAAACTCACTGACTAAATTTGAGTTATTTTCCCTGCTGTGAGTTAGCTTCATCTTGTTTTCTCAGTTAGCTGAAGATGTACTAAATTACCTGTCATCTCTGTTGAGCATATTCTTTATCTCACGCTGAAATATTTGGCCAGATAGCACTGCAAAAAATAGCTGATCTTTTTCCATTGACGGTGCTGTAGAAACATAAGGAAAACAAATGGAGCTCAGGAGGAAAAGGAAAATATGATGTGGCTCTTGACTGGCGTAAGAGAAAATGACTAGGTTATAAACAGTTATTGAAACTTCGTTTTCATTCTTTAAGATGACTGCTATTGCAGTGTGTGGCTTTACCTGCAGTTAAACTTCTCTGGAGTAACTCTAAGCTTCTGTATGAAATACAGTTACAGGCTACAGACTGTACAGCAACTATTTAGTTCTTTTTATCTATTGAATAAATACGATTCAGTGTGTAGTTTTTTTCCCTGAATGGAGTTATTCTAACGTGTGTGCGTTGTAGGTGCCAAACTGCTGCATTAATAAGCTTAAATTAAGGTATTTTTAGGTGTATGCATGTGTGTCAAGATCTTAAATAAAGAAATGATAATAATAACATAGAATTGAAATGATTAAGCTGATTAATAATGTTGCTGGTTTTCCCCTTCATAAATTACTCTGACTTAGATTTGGAGTATGAAGCAAGATACCTGTGTACACGATCTTCAGGCTCACAGCAAAGAGATCTATACTATCAAATGGAGTCCTACAGGACCTGGCACCAGCAACCCAAACTCCAACATCATGTTAGCAAGGTAAAAAATACACCTTTTTCTGTTGCCTACCAAGAAGAAGGATCATCTTTCTGACATGTAACTCTACTGTAGTCACCTTGCCATCAGTCTTCCTGCAGACAGTTCCAGTAAAAAGTACCCGTGTTTATAAATCAGGGGTATGGACAAAAAGGGAAAGGAATCGTATTAGAAAAAGTAGAAAGAAAAAGAAGGAAGGTTGAGTCATGTGATATTTAACTTTTCAGCTGCCTTGTTAATTAGGACTGTAAATTCCACATTGCACCTCCACATCTGGCATCTGTTTAGTATGAGTGAAGGTACTTGATGAGGCAGGTGGCAGCTGTTCAGCCAGTTGGAATGTGTTCTACCCGGGTCATGCAGCTCACCGGGGCAGAGAGTGACAAGTTTTATAGCCCTGTTAACTGACGGAAAAAGCTTGGATAATCTTTTAAAATTCCACTTGAAAATCTCTTCAGAATTCTCTGAGGTTGGGAAATACATTTACTTGTAGATGCCAATTGCTGGTAGTACCGTGGGATTATCAAGCCAGTTCATGGTGTATTCAGTTTGGGGAGGAGTTGCATCAAAGCTGTTTTATCTATTTTGCTCTTTAGACTAGAAGTGGACAGGGAGGAAGAACTTTGCTTTCTTGGAGTTGCTCTTTTAATATTCTTTTTAATGCCAATTATTTTCCTTGCCTTTTCCCAACCCCACGGTTTGTGATTTAGACAGATGCAGCAAAAACCAGCACTGAAATAAAGGGAAAAGAACCACGGTTCTAGAGAATTATGCTAATTCATTAAATAATGCAAATCCACTAGGAATAAGATTTCTCTGTGTGCCATGTACCTTATTAATGGCAATGCATATGTTCCTGAATAATATCAGGTAGAATCTCAAAAAGCAGGAGCTTGGCCCTTTTAGGGCTAGTGAGCTGATCACAGCACCCTGACGTGAACTCCAAGGTTCCGCATGCAGGAATTCAGTCCTGTGTTCGTGTCAGGGCTGTCGCGAATATCGGCTTTTCTGTTTGAAACATTAGTTCTTGCTTAATCAAGGGAACAACTCTGTGTTATTCTCCTATAATGTTTACGGTATCAAACTACAAAATTGGTTGACGCTCAGATTAAGACGTGCTTATGTTTGAATGCTTCCCGCAGTGCTTCATTTGATTCCACCGTTCGGCTGTGGGACGTTGACCGAGGAGTCTGCATCCACACGTTAACAAAGCATCAAGAGCCTGTCTACAGTGTAGCTTTTAGTCCTGATGGAAAATATCTAGCCAGCGGGTCCTTTGACAAATGTGTCCATATATGGAATACTCAGGTACTGTTTTGCTTCATGTGAAGTTCATCTGGCTTAGATGACACATTAATAGCAAAAGCTTGAATGGAAAGTCTGTGTCCCTCTGTAGTGTGTGACCTGCCAGCCGAGGCGAGCCCGATTGTATTGGCTGATACAAAGCCCAGCGTAACAGTTGAGTCCCTCAGGTGGAGTGAGGTGACTGTCAGAGCACTTCTGCTCAGGCTCCCTTGCATGCTGAAACACCAGCCTGCACGAAAATGGGTATGTCAGGGCGCACCCCCAGTTTTCGGAAGCGGCGGTGCGGATTGACTCTTAGAAATAAGCAATACTTTTAATGAGAAACGAGCTGGGTTCAGTTGCTAGTCCGATGCACCTGCCTTATACTTGGCGATGAGGAGATGGTAGGTACAAAGGGTGCACAGGCTGGGGACTGGGGATATTCTGGAGAGAAGTGGGGCGTCACAGTTCCACAGATTTAATTCTGGATAATGATGCCTCAGAGCCTGAATTAACAACAAACTTCAGAAAGGACCACCTCAGCCTGACTCCCCAGGCCTTTACTGCTGTAAGGTTGACAGAAACCTTATAGCAGGTTGACAGAAACAGGTGTCCAAAGAGTCGTACTGTAAATTGTTTCCTGGAGGGTCCTGTTTCTCTTCGTGATCAAATACCAGTTTCCTAACCTCAGCGCCTAGGGAGGTGACCGTAGTTGGGTGGTGTGAGTAGCCCCCCCTCGCCACCGCTCTCTTCTTTTTAATGTAATGCCACACGACAGAGAAAAAAGGAGGGGGAACTTCTGTACCCAACGTGTGCATGCTGGTTTGCTTTGCAGAGCGGAACTCTAGTACATAGCTACCGAGGCACCGGGGGCATCTTTGAAGTCTGCTGGAACGCTAGAGGAGACAAAGTGGGAGCAAGCGCATCAGACGGATCGGTAAGGAGATCTGCACGTTGTCAATGTCGGGTGGTGATTACGCTTGTGGAGAGGGTCAGCAAAAAGCACGCACGCCGTATCGCCTCCTGCGTGCAGAGCTGAAGGTGCAGGCAGCTGAAGACATAAATAAGTAGCTCTGCTTAGTACATTAAAAATGCTCCTGCTCTGAAAGGTTTTGAATACTGGGAGGTGGTGTTCCCACTGGAAATGAAGAATGCTTGTGAAATAGCTGGATATTGATGAAGATGGGAATGACTTCTACATGCATATCTGGCAAGAACAACGGCAGTGTTGTTGCTGTCATTATTTATCTCATCTGTCCATTTTTAATGAAAGTCAGATCACAGCCATCAGCTCCCTAATAAACACTTGTCCTGGGGCTTTCTGAGTTTCATCCCACTGAAGTTTCCCCTTGAATAATACCTAAAGGAGGAATTTTTCAGCACGACATCCGAAGAGTTCATCGCGTGGTAGAGGAGAAACACTGCCGTAGCGATACTGATTATTCATTACTAGTTTTGCTGTTAATGTTACTTTTAAAAAACGTCAATTGCGGCATGATCAGCCGGTGGAGGACGCACCGATGTTGTAACCCACTCCACAGCTTTTTACAATACGCCTTCCACATGGCTGGCAGGTGTAACTACTTCAGAGCAGTGGTTTTCAACTGGTTTTAACAAAGGCTGCACCTCCAGCATGATTCAGTCGCTTGAGCTTAGTCGTGCCGTTTGAGATGGGGCCCTGCCTGGCTTCCGACAGCTGCTCCAAGCGGGCGCCTGTCCGCTCTAGGCCCCTGGCCGTACCTCCCACGCCTGCATCTACTTTGGGTACATCTCAGAAGTGGAAGTGGACACTATTCGGGCAGCTAAATAGAGCCCACAGTCTCGTCTGGGATGTGCCACCGGAATGGTTGGTTGTAATCCAGGGAAAGCCCAGCAAAACGTTAAATGCACGGCTTGCGCTTGGGCTTCCTCCTGTGCCGGGATGTTCCCGCGCTTCTGTGCGCGTGCGCAGGCACTTGAGGCAGGCTGATTTGGAGCTGGGGGGTGTAACGCACAGCTGGCCGGTCAGCCTGCGTACGGAGCCGTGCCTGAACAGGACTTGCACGTCGCCTTCTGGAACGGTTCTTAACGCCGAGTCTTTTTCTCTCCAGGTTTGTGTTCTAGACCTACGGAAGTAAGAGCGAGATGTTTTAGAAGAAATTTCAAATGGACCAGCAGTGAATGTGTGGGGAGAAGCACTCTTCAAAACTATTCTTAACAGCTCCAGAACTGTACGAACTTGAACAAAGTTAGAGTGTACCGTGAAACCAACTCTCCCTGGCCACAGGTGTCTAGTATTTTGTCCGTAACCTTCATCAAGGAGTAAAAACGCAGTCACTTCAGAGGGGGAGGGAATGGTTTACACCTGGAACATTCAGCCTTGGAAGCATGAAGCCACCAGCTAGGCATTGCACTATTTGGTTTGCGTCTGAGAACTTGCTCTGATGGCTGGGAAAAAAAAGCTGTGCCAAAAAAAAAAAAAAAATTAAAAAAAAGAAAAAAAAAGGAAAGAAATGCTGTGATAAACCAAAAGGGAAAAAAAAAAATCCTCCTCCATGCGGTGTTGTATTTTTTCCTTCCAATTTGGACACTACAGTTGCTCTCCCAAAGGACGTTCAAAGACCAGTTTGTACTGATGAAATGCTCAACTTTGTAATCACAACACTTTCTATTTTCTAGACTACTTTTTTTGTTCAGTGGTTTTTCTATCAGCTGGAATATTACAGCCTGGAGGATCCCAGGCTTAGGATGAAACCTTTGTTTTCCTTTTATTTCTCCCTTCCACTCCCAACTTCTCCTTCCTTTTTTTTTTTCCTCCTTTCTTCTTGCCCTTTTTTTTTTCTTTTTTTCTTTTTTCCCTGTATGCCCATAGTAGATGCAGCCAGGTGGACATGACAATGAAAATTTTTGACAGACTGCTTCTCCTCTCTTCCCTCTCTTCCTTTTCCTTTCTTTCTCTCCGTTTAAAAGAAAAAAAAATCCTCCATGCTTCAGATTCTTAGCGTCTCAAGGGCACTTTCAGCAAATTGTGTAACAAGTGCTTTATATAAGAATGCAGTGCTGGGGAAGATTTTTACAGGAGAAAGATGACTTTTAACAGAAAGAACCCAGTGTATTTTTGGAAAAAAAATATTTTTTATGTTAAACAGTTTTAAAAGCCTCAAATGGCCATCAAATGTAGACCAGTTGTGGAATTCAAGCAAAAAGGATGACAGAGTCCAAGGAACATGAAAGGTGCAGTATCCTTTTTCTCTTCTCTCAGAAAGTGCTCTAAGAAAAAATGCCATTTGGTACAATAAATGCCAGTCAGTTTTACTGAGTCCTCTTCCAGCAGCCAGCTGTTTCTATAGGCTCATTTCATCTTCGTGGCTGTTTGATGATGTGCGCTTACAAAAAGGGATTGGTGTTTGAGACTAGAAGTGCAGCATTCATTTTCTTGACTCCGTAGTTTTGTTTATCCTCAGTAACCAGGGGGAAATGCTGGTGTGTAGCTTCTTTCCTCTAGAGATAGTTCACGTTTCATCCGGAACATGGGTTTGGCTGCCCATGGCCTTGCTGAGCAGTGCTGTCCTCCACTGCTCATCCCACTCAGCTGTTTCTCTTCCACTAAGTCCACGGGATTTTACCGCCAACATAATGAGCCCAGTTGAGCCAAGATACATTCACTGCATCTGCCGCTGTTGAAGAATGGGCTCTCACCAAGCTGCTATCCACCCATGGTCAGCACCAACCTAGAGGCAGGCGCTTCCATGGCATCTGGCATGACGTGGTGCTGCTGTCACCCTCAGCCGTGTGGCATGCTACAAGGAAAGCTCTGGGTCTGCTATTGGAGGCTCGCTGCTTGCCCAGATGGGCTTATCCTTGAGGGTGTCCTCAGCGCGGCACTCGGAAGACAACGTAGAACTCTCCATTAGGTGGGGACGTGGTAAAGGATATGTAGGTTACATCTCAGCAAATTTACCACTATAAAGTTATAGTGGGTGAAATGATCAGAATGACAATGAAGACTTCCAAAGCACCACCTATCCACTTTGCACAAGATTTCCTTACTGGAAAAGGGATGCCTGATGAAGACTGCCTTACTCTGAGATGGATGCAAAGGAGGATGCATAAGCAGAGTTCACTGAAAGTGCTGTAAGCGGCGAGGCAGCCTTGGGGTGGTGGCGGCTCCTGCTTAGACAAACCCTTTAAGCTAGGCCAGGACCTGTAGGAGAGCGAAAACCAAACAAGCAGAGAACCCCCTTAACATCACATTGTCACTTCCCACCCAAAGTCGCTGTTTCTGTAACACAGGATCTCCCCTTTGACTTGACCACGACTGCTGAAGTGATGATTTGAGCTGAGCAGTACCGGAGCCCTGGTGCGGAACGGGTGGTGTTAAGAACCTGCTGAGGACCATGGCATCATTGTGGAATCTGCATGGCATTTTTTATCCTGTGTTTTCCTCTCTTTGAGAAAAGAATGAAAAGAAATTACTGCTAAAAGGGTTGCTCAGTCCTGAGGTGAAAACATTTACGTGGGATTTTGGTTATTGACGACAGTTAGGCCTGTTTGTAATTTGTATTGGAGAGTTGGACACTGGAAGGTGTCAAGGATTATTTTCACTATTAAATGCGCTTGTGTTGGTTTTAGTTTTCTGCTCCAAGAGAATGGGCTGTAGATGTTCACGTGGCAGTTTTGCGCTGTTGTATAATGGCCACGCGTAGCTACTAATTTCAAGTCACTACTTTAAAAAAAAAAGTACTTGTTCAAAGAGTTGAGTTTGAATACAAAGGTTTAACGTTGTTTCGTAAAGCACGGTTGGGTCAGTGATTTGACTGCAGTCATTGCAAGTACACGGTTAACTTCCTAAGCTGCTTTTCGGGTGGCCTTTCTGAGAACAACAGGCAGAAGCTGCGGGTCTGCAGGCAGCAGAGGGCAGCGCGGACGGGCCTTGGCCTCCCCTCCGTCCCTGGAGTGAAGCTTGAGGAGGCCAGACCTCAGGATTCAAAGCAGTGAGGTGGCTTAGTATGAGGTTGGGGGCACCACACGGCTGGCAGCTACGTAGCCTGCATTTCGTGGTTGTCCCCGGGGAGCTACTCTGGGTAATTCAGCAGTGCCTACAAGGCCTGTTTCCATTTCTCCCTGAGACCTTAAGCACTGGAAAATCCTCAAAGATGCTGTTGTAGGTAATTTTCAGCTCGCGTGAGGGCAGCTGCTGAGGAAGGCAGAAGGTGTAGTGGCAAGGGCTACTCCTAGCCTAGCGGGCTGGTTTCACCTGGAGGCGGGCGGTGCGGAGAGAGGCTTTCCCAGGCTGTCATTCAACATGGATATCTAAGCCCAGACCTGCCCCCGTGGGGGCTCTGGCTTTTCTCCCCTGCAACGGCGTGAAGCAACAGCCTGGTGGGCTCATTCTTCTCACACAGTGCTTCTCGGTAATTTTGGTTACAGCTCTTCGTAGCAGAAGAGCAATTGAAAAGCCTGAGTGACCAAACAGGGTTGTGAAAGCATCGAGAGACTGACTGGATTTTTATCATTGCTGGCTGTTGGGAACTGGCCTGGAAGTGAAAAAAAAGCCCGGTTTCTGAAAAACCACTTGATTCTGTGGGTTAGAAGGATACTGAATCTTTTATGTAGAAAACACTGGGTCCCTTACGGGGCACTAAAGGGCCTGACTTACAGGGTTATACACACATTAACCCCATGCTACATCTTAGAAATTTCCTTTTAATTTGTTTAAAAAAAAAAAAAAAGGAAAAAAATAGCTAATTTTAGAGCCAAGTGAAGTGCACTTTGTCAAATGTAAGGGTCTGCTTTGGTTTTGGGTTTCTTTTTTTCTTTTTTCCCTTTTTAATTTTTCCTCCTTTCTTTTCCTCCTTTTGCCTTTTTAAAAGATGTGGTTCTTTGTCAATTGCAGAAATGTTCTTTCAGCCACTCACTGAAATCCTGAATTCTGGCTTCTGCAGTTTTTATTGTCTGTGTCAGACTTGCAGCCAGACTTGGTTCTCATTTCAGCATTTCCTAGGTTCTGTTGAAACAACATCAACCCTTATTTTGTTTCTCCCCCACCCACACTTTCTTCAAATTCACCTTGTGTATTGTAGCTCATTTGTTTTAAGGAGAGAATCAACAGATCATATTCAGTGTCTTGAATAAATTGCTATATTTTGATATTAGAGAACTCTGTGCGTGTTGTTCCTTATTCTTTCCTGGCTGTTTTGTATCCTGTGCTTAAGAGCTGGGGTTGGGTGACTGAAGCTGTAACGTGGTGGCACAGCCCAAAGGTTTACCCGGCCCGGGAGTGTACAGAGATCGAGGCCGTGGGTTCGTGGGATTTTGTAATACACAGGGACGCAGGTTTTTTCCTCTAAATTTCCCTATTTCGTTACAGATTGCCGCAATTATCACACCAGTCGCCGCTAGCAAGGATACCTGTGAATAAGAAAGTGAACATACATGTATGTATCAGGCTATCACAAGTTATTATCAGCAAGCAGTAGGATAGCAATAGTCGGTAACACGGCCGCGATCAGGTATGGCAACCGTCACTTAAAGCACCATCCAGGAACCGCAGCAGTGAAGTAGGTATTTGTAACGTCACAGCCCACGATGGAGTTAATAGGGGTGAAGCAGACTTAGCAGTAGTGTAACAGCGGGTGGATTACGGTGATAGGTTGCTTACGTGTGTGTATGTGGCACCGAGCGCATCGGAGAGCTCTCGGAAAGGGACCCAAGCATCCCAGCGGTGGGAGGGCAGACCAGATGGGCCCCAGACGTGGGATCCATAGGGCAACGCTAAAACAACAGGCAGAGCGGCAGTGCCGAGCTGCTCCGTGCCACGCAGTTTGGAGTCAGCCAGCCGACCGCAGCGAGGGTCCAGGGGCTTGTAGCAAGTTCATGCAGAGCTGTTTAGGAAAGGGACACGTATTTGCAGCAGAGGGGGAGAGAAGGAAGCTCTGATTTGGATAGAAAGACATTTTTCTATCGTAGAGACTTAAGAGGGTGTAGGACACCACCACTGTGAGCAGCCAACAGACGCTGTCAGTACCTGGTTTTCACCTGGGACAACAATGAGTAATGATGGTTTCTGTTCTCTCAGATTGATTTTTATTTTTTGGGACTTTTCCTCTTCTTGCAGACAGAAGAGCCCATGGCACTTAACAATTCTTTCTTTCTCAGGATGTTTTTTCCCCTTTTTCCAGTTCATTTTTCACCTTTTCGGACACTAAGTTGCCATTACAGCTGCTTGGGTTTGTGCTTACTGCAGATATTTGAGGGTGCCTCTCGTTTCTAGGTACCTAGGCGCACTCCAAAGGTGCTGGCTGTGCTGCTCAGGATGCTTCTAGTTCCCAGGCCCGCAGCTTCCGGGCTGGCAGGTGAACTCTCAGGATTTCAGCTGACATCGTCTATTCTGTGCTTCTTGCCTTCTAACCAGGTCACCTTGATGGCTGCCCACATCACATGCTTAGAATTCAGTTTTATTTCCCCCCATGATACATTTATTGGCAATCTGCACAGCTGGCAAGG